GTTGTGGGTAAAGGAGTAGTGGAATGTCACAAGAGGCCTATGCCGACCCTGTCACGAACGACGGACCCGGATTCCACTCGATCACACCCGTTAGCGAACTCACCGAGCTAGTCTTCGAGCCCGAGCGATCAGGATAGGCGACGAAACTCAGCCCCTCCGGTTGTGAGGAACTGAGGATGGGGTAACGCACAATACTCACATCGACCCCCACGAAGGCCCGATAAGGCTCGGGGGCTCAAGACAAACGCCAAGGACAGCAACCTTGAACTCACCAGATCCACGACTCCAACTCGCCCGGTCCCGCAGCGCGCACCGACGCCAGGATCCACGAGCATCGCCTCGTCCGATCTTTAACCAAACTAACTACGCTTCGGCTTCAAAACGGCTTCACTTCCGACTGCGCTCCAAAAACCTTGGGACCGCAACTCCAAACTCGCGTCGACAGGATCTATGACATCCGGCTATGGCTCTTGGGACCGCGACTCCAAACTCGCGTTGACAGGATCTATGACATCCGGCTACGGCTCTTAGGACCACGACCCTGAACTTGCATCGACAGGATCTACGACATCCGGCTACGGCTCTTGGGACCGTGACCCCGAACTCGCGTCGACAGGATCTATGACATCCGGCTACGGCTCCTGGGACCACGACTCCTAAACTCGCGTAACGGCTTCACTTCCGACTGCGCTCCAATAAACCTAGGACCGTGACTCCTAAACTCGCGTAACGGCTTCACTTAGGATCCACGAGCTCCGGCTCGTCTGATTCCTGAACTAACTAAACTAACTCTCTTGATCCACGGCGCGCACCGACGCTTGGGTCCGTTCGTGGCCCCACCTCTCTCGATCCCACGGCGTTCATCGACGCCAAAGATCAGTGAGCTCTGACACGTCCGAACCGAGCTATCTCCATCTGTGGCGCGCACCGACGCTAGGGTTTGTCCCGAACTAAACTTCTCACCTGATCCATGGCGCACACCGACGCCAGGATCAATAAGTTCTGTCTCATCCCCACGCCTAAAAATCCCCTCGGCTGCACAGCGACGCCGTGGTTAAACAAAATTCTATCTCAAACTAAAAACACGCACGCCCGCTGAAACAACACCCTCACACAGTTCTACCCGAACCACCCGGGGCTCGGGGGCTACACCCGCCGACACGACGCAAAAACCTCTCCCGCTGACAACGCAGAAAACCCCCCGCTGGTTCTGCCCGAACCCCCTAGGGGATCGGGGGCTACAGCCGCGGGTGCGCTCGCACGCACCCGCTGGCAAGACAAAAATCCCCCGGACGATTCTGCTCAAATCGCCCGGGGGCTCGGGGGCTCCTGTGGGGTTCATAAACCCGGGGTCCCTCGGGGACCGGCTTCCACGCCAGGGCTCGGCCCAGGAAAACAACACGTAGTTCATGGGACAGCCCAAGAGTCTAAAAAACAACGGGCCGGAAGGACAGCCCGGTCCCCGACAGAAAGGTCTACCCAAAAGAACAAGCGCCCGCTCGTCAACCTCTTTGGCCCACCTCTCCGACCGGAGCACTCGCTTCGGGCACCACCCACCCGAGCTCTCTCGGCGTCTCTCGGAAGGGAAGGCGACCCAAAACGCCGCTTCCTACTCGACCCCATGACTCCAACCGGAGACCCAGAGGAAGCTTTCGCTACCACTCTTCTTCTCCGATCGCGGCGCGAGGCCAGGCCTGGGGCCATCAGACCAGGGACGTCCACTCAGAAGGGACCTGGGGCAAACGGAGAAGGCAGCGCACAAGTCAAACCACGATACCGGGACCATACCCTGTATGCCTCGGGAACAGTGCTCCACAACCGCTCTGACGCAAACAGTATTGTAGGCGCCGACATTTGTGCCTACAGTATTGTAGGCGCTATTGGGCTCCCATACGGCAAAAAGCCCCCCTACCTCTGGGCATCGATAGTGGGCGTCATGATTCACCATACCTGGTACACATGGTAAGGGCTCCTCACATAACCATAGTATTTTGGAGGTACCGACATCCACCCTTCCTGAAGAAGCCAACGCAATCTCCCATGTACACCTGACATTCTACAGTGACGTCAACAGTATTGTGGGCACCTACCATCATCACTATCCTCGTCGGCATGGGCAACAAGGTTTAGAAACATCCGAACTCTCTCCCTCTCACCTGTAAAGCCACCCCCTTTCATCTATAAATGGGGATGCGCTCCCTCCAACAAAGAGGTCGACTTCTTCAAGCACCAGATTCACTAGATCGATAGCTCACAACACCTCAAGCACCCGCTTGAACACCTAGCTCATAGTGGAGTTCCGGTCGCCCTCGGCCCTTTCGGTCGGACCCGACCGGGCCTCTCGTACACCCCACATTTCTTCTTCTCGTTTGTAACCCCACTACAGACTTCGAGCACCTGGGCTCAGAAATAAAGTCACCGACCAACCCACACTGGACGTAGGGCACGTTGCCTGAACCAGTATAAATCCTGTGTCATTAAGTGCTAGGCCACCTCCGATTAGAACGTAGAGCAAAACTACAAATATTCACTAGTTGATCACTTTCTGTACCGACAGACGCCTTTGTGACTTGAGTGCGAAGCACCAGAATTCGTAACGTGGATCCACTAATCACTAGCCATGGTTACAAACTCACGTCACTTAGCTCAGCTCAGCTCCTAAACACTACGGAGTACCTTGATAACCCTCTAGTAAAAACTCCTAGCTAGCCTGGTTAATGGGAGTGGAAGCATGAGCTCTTAGACGTAAGACCGGTGTCTTGTATGCTCTATTGGACCAGAGCCATCCAGTGCTAATGTGAAAGGCTAAATGCACTGTGCTGCTTATTCGATTTGGTGCCACGTGGACGGCCACATTATTTGTGATTTGCATAGACCTTATGCGATTATGACTCGTATTACCGTAGTACTTTATTACTATACCAATGGCCGGTAGATTTTTGACTCTAAGAAGAAGAGGAAGAAACAGCACGTGTTTTCACACCATCGTGTAGCCTTTTCACATTGACTGCGATGTACCTTGTTTGACTCGACGACGGGCCATGATTTGGGATCGGGCGAAGCTGGACTATGCAGGCCCAGTAAAAGATGTCTCGACCGCTTCGGGTATTGGCCCAGCTGACTATTGGATCGAAATTGGAGGCTTGAGTGTGTGTATATATGGCACCCAAGGTTTGCCCGTCCTGGGCTCCTAGCCCATACACACAGCAAGCTGGGCCACGTACCAGCAACATGTTGTAGTGCCTTCGTATACGATCTCACAGTATATACTTCTCTCCCTGTACGGCTGTACGCAGGAACATGTACAATACGGTGGTACCGATAAGGCCCCGTTTGGCACGGCTCCACTACACCCATGAAGCACTTTTTTAGGCTTAAGCTCCATGAACAGCTCTATGGGTGGAGCTGTAGCCGTTTTGATAAATCGTTTGGCAAAATAGCTTCACGTATAGTTTTTCTTAAAATATGCTCTCAGAGAACGCCATGTAGAATGAGGTGAAGCCGAGAGAAGCCACTATTTTTGGCTCCTTCCCACCCAAAAGCTCTGTGAGAGCACGTTTTTAGGGGCTTCATCGGTGGAACCGTTTTATTTTATCCCGTTTGGCAGAAAACGGCTCCAAGCAGCTCCTGAAGCCGCTAGAGAAGCCCTGTCAAACGGGGCCTAAGTACTGGCCAGTATTTGCTGTGTGCGGATGTGAGATCCTGTCGCAGAAAAATGTACCGACTGGAATATATATGCGGCGAATATTCCGGCGACAGCGCAGTGCATTGAGTGCCCGATTGGTACGCGCTCGACCTGACGGAGACGAGGGCGGAGCGCGATGCGCCGGCGAGGGGTTTTGTCCCCGCTCGCAACCGGCCAAATAAACGCGCCGCCGTGTCGTCCACACCAATCCCACCCTTTTATCGTCATTTCCCGTCCCCTGGCCCCGTTCGCTGGTCTGAAACTTGATTGAAACTGGCTGGTTTTGTGAGGTAGCAGCTGATTGATGAACAGTGTCTTGTGAGGGGATTAGCCGGCTGGTCTGGAACATCCAGACCAGCGAACACGCCCTCTCTCTCTCTCTATATATATATATATATATCCTCTGTATACTATTCCTACGGCTACGGAGTACGTGCCACACGTGACGCCACGACACGCGACGCCCATGGTCCGTCCGTGGATATACTATGCCGTGCAGTCGTGCACACAGGGTATGGATCGCGTCACTGCCGCCAGGACATGCGTTCGGCCTTCGGCGGCCAGCCGGAGCCGCAGGCTGCATGCATGGGACATGGGTGGCTGCGGAAAGGATTCGTGCGGGTGACGCAGCGCGTCCACATACGTAAGCATCATGAATCATGACCACCACCCGCGCGGCCGCGCCGCACGCAGCACGCACGAGCGTGCGATCCGTAACCGCGTGTGAATCCTGACGGGACGTAGAAGCGAAATCCGTACTAACCAACGGACGCGCAACTCAAAAAGCGCGGGGCCCGGAGCTCGTCGGCTCGCTGACCCCGCGGGCCCAGCCGAGCCGGGGGGCCACCACCTAGCCACGCTTCGCCAGGGCCGCGGGTTTCTCATCCCCCGCGCTTCCTCCCTGCTCCGTCCGTGGCAACGGAAGGCCCCTACAACTGCGGCCGCCGCTGCAACCGCATGCACGGCACGATCCTTTCCCTTCTTCTTTCTCAAATTCTCCTCCGATGCCGCGGTGACGCGTGGTGCGTGCGCGCGCGCCTTTCCCCCTGTCCCCGTCCTCTCCCTCTCTCTCTCTCTCTCTTGATCGGTTCCAGTTAACACTCGCATCCCTCCAGTGGGCACTCCGGGACGGGCGCGCTTTCTCGCTGCCGCTCAAAAGCAGGAAACCAAGCAACGGCCAGGAAGGAGTCACGCGCGAGGCGAAAAGCGGGCGGGGGTTAGGAGAAGCGTGGGTTAATGCTCCCGTAGTCGCGTAGCGAGCGAGCGATCTGAGAGAGGTAGAGGCCGGGCGGAAGAGGAGAACTCGGGGGATCCGATGGCGGGCAACGAGTGGATCAATGGGTACCTGGAGGCGATCCTCGACAGCCGCACCTCGGCCGGGGGAGGAGGGGGAGGCGGCGGCGGCGGCGGCGGGGACCCCAGGTCGCCGGTGGCGGGGGCGTCGCCGACGAAGGGGGCGAGCCCCCGCGGCCCGCACATGAACTTCAACCCCTCGCACTACTTCGTCGAGGAGGTGGTCAAGGGCGTCGACGAGAGCGACCTCCACCGGACGTGGATCAAGGTCGTTGCCACACGCAACGCCCGCGAGCGCAGCACCAGGCTCGAGAACATGTGCTGGCGGATCTGGCACCTCGCGCGCAAGAAGAAACAGGTCAGGATTTCGCATCGCCTCTTTCTCGGTTAATCTCTCGCTGCTTGTTTTGTTTTGTTTTGTTTTGTTCATATAATCTCGTTCGTCTCTGAATTTGTGTTTTGTTTAATCTCTGTTTCCTTTCTTCTTTCTCGTGCCCCTTCTGTGATTTGCCTCCCGTTAGTTGGCGGCCGTACGGAACCGCCCGCTCCTTGATTTTTGTTTTTTAGTGTTTTCTGTATGCTGACGGAGATGCATGATTAATGAAGCGCGTACTGCATGTGCGATTCTTGTTGTTTTTAGTGTTTTCTGTTTGCTGGACGAAGATGCGTGATTAATGAAGCGCACACTGCATGAGCGATCCTTGATTTTTAGTGTTTTCTGTTTGCTGGCCGGAGATGCATGATTAATGAAAAGCAAAACTGCACGGCGAATAGAATATCTGATAAATATTCTAATCGTTCGCTTTATGAACTTGTGTTTTGATTGATGTTTAAGCCTGATGATGAAGTGATGATAGATCAGCCATGCATAGTTGGTTGTGGTGCTTTCAGAATTCAGAACCGCACACTTAACTGAGATGTCACATCTAATGATCTAAAAAGAAACTTTAGTTGATCTGCAGTGTTTCACTGTTGTTCATATAAAGGTATCTCATTCAATCATTCTAGCATGTACTTTACCACCCGTTCACCCGTCAAGGCAGACACGGTATACTCACGGTTTGTTTGCTTTCCTTCACCTTTTTTTTAATAGAACACCTTTTCTAAATAGAACACTGAACTGGACCTGGTAGGATTCACGGTTTTGTCTGTGACAAGAGAGAATTGCGCATGTTCGTGCTGAGATTCTCCCTTTGCTGATGCTTCTGAATTTTGTTATGAGCAGCTGGAGCTGGAGGGCATCCAGAGAATCTCGGCACGAAGGAAGGAACAGGAGCAGGTGCGCCGTGAGGCGACTGAGGACCTGGCCGAGGATCTGTCAGAAGGTGAGAAGGGGGACACCCTCGGCGAGCTTGCGCCGGTTGAGACGGCCAAGAAGAAGTTCCAGAGGAACTTCTCTGACCTTACCGTCTGGTCTGACGACAATAAGGAGAAGAAGCTTTACATTGTGCTCATCAGGTCTACCCATTTGCACATTGTGTTCGTTCTATTCCTATGTAGTGCTAAATTGCTAATAAAGAATATATATATGGTAATGAAATGTCTCTTCTTTGCTCTTTGCACATCTTAGGAAGTAGAAAAATTGGTATATCTTCTTTCTTCAAAAATTGTATAGTTTTTTTTAAGAAAAATAAAAAATTGTATAGTTAAATCTCTGGAGTTTCACAAGCTGTTCCTTTGTTGACTGCAGTGTGCATGGTCTAGTTCGTGGCGAAAACATGGAACTAGGTCGTGATTCTGACACCGGTGGCCAGGTAAACACCATTGGTCATTTGTTAATTATTTGGGAGAAGTTCGTTATGCCGAATCAAGTTTTCTTTTTTTTTTCCGAGAACATGCGCCGGCGTGCAAGCTTTTTCCTAATCAAGTTTTCATGATTGAGTGCGACTGATCTTTGAATCTCACAGGTGAAATATGTTGTCGAACTTGCAAGAGCGATGTCAATGATGCCTGGAGTGTACAGGGTGGACCTCTTCACTCGTCAAGTGTCATCTCCTGACGTGGACTGGAGTTATGGTGAGCCAACGGAGATGTTATGCTCCGGTTCCAATGATGGAGAGGGGATGGGTGAGAGTGCCGGAGCCTACATTGTGCGCATACCGTGTGGGCCACGGGACAAATACCTCAAGAAGGAAGCACTGTGGCCTTACCTCCAAGAGTTTGTCGATGGAGCTCTGGCGCATATCCTTAACATGTCCAAGGCTCTGGGAGAGCAGGTTGGAAATGGGAGGCCAGTACTGCCTTATGTGATACATGGACACTATGCCGATGCTGGAGATGTTGCTGTTCTCCTTTCCGGTGCGCTGAATGTGCCCATGGTGCTCACTGGTCACTCACTTGGGAGGAACAAGCTAGAGCAACTGCTGAAGCAAGGGCGCATGTCCAAGGAGGAGATAGATTCAACCTACAAGATCATGAGGCGTATCGAGGGTGAGGAGCTGGCCCTGGATGCGTCAGAGCTTGTTATCACGAGCACAAGGCAGGAGATTGATGAACAGTGGGGATTGTACGATGGATTTGACGTCAAGCTTGAGAAAGTGTTGAGGGCCCGGGCGAGGCGTGGGGTTAGCTGCCATGGTCGTTTCATGCCTAGGATGGTGGTAAGTATTCAAATCTCTGTTGTCGATACCAAGTAGTAAGTACTGTTCAACACCTGAATCATGAAGTTAAAAAAAATTGTCATCCATTTGATCTATATCTGTGTTGATTAGAGAACTTTGTTGGCAGGTGATTCCTCCAGGAATGGACTTCAGCAATGTTGTGGTTCCTGAAGACATTGATGGGGATGGTGACAACAAAGATGATATCATTGGTTTGGAGGGTGCCTCACCCAAGTCAATGCCCCCAATTTGGGCTGAGGTTGGTGCTTGATCCCAAATTCCTTTGCAGACCTAGAACAACTGCCTTCACAGGTATCACAAGTCTTAAGGTCGCTGCATGGCAACTTTGTCACAGGTGATGCGGTTCCTAACCAACCCTCACAAGCCGATGATCCTCGCGTTGTCAAGGCCAGACCCGAAGAAGAACATCACTACCCTCGTCAAAGCATTTGGAGAGTGCCGCCCACTCAGGGAACTTGCAAACCTTGTAAGAAACAGTTAATCTGAAGTATACTCATAAGTTTCATCGTTGCAAATGTTTTGTAATTTGTATGGTCGAATAACTAGTGCTATCATGATCACAACGCAGGAATATTTGTTCTTTTATCTAACAGACCTATATGAAAATTTCTGATTCTGAACATCATTACAGTAGCTGCATGTATTCCATGTAATGGAATTTTCCTCTGTTTCAGACTCTGATCATGGGGAACAGAGATGACATCGACGATATGTCTGCTGGGAATGCCAGTGTCCTCACCACAGTTCTGAAGCTGATTGACAAGTATGATCTGTATGGAAGTGTGGCGTTCCCTAAGCATCACAATCAGGCTGATGTCCCGGAGATCTACCGCCTCGCGGCCAAAATGAAGGTTTGCTGCTTACCACGACCCTTCATTGAGCTTTGACAACTCACACTCAACCATAACTGATTGCTCCCTGCAGGGCGTCTTCATCAACCCTGCTCTCGTTGAGCCGTTCGGTCTCACCCTGATAGAGGTCAGCTTCTTCTTCAGTTCTCTACCTCAGCTATAGCCTTTTTAAAAATTACATTATCAGCTATAGCCTTTTCAAAAATCACATTAAATTTCACTATGAAAAATGTGTGGCTTTCAGGCTGCGGCACACGGACTTCCAATAGTCGCTACCAAGAATGGTGGTCCAGTCGACATTACAACTGTGAGAAACCATATTTTGAACATTCAATGTGTGAGAAACCCACTGCAATTCACTTGTGAAAACAGTGGATAATTGTGTGCGTGCATCATACTGGCAGGCACTGAACAATGGACTGCTCGTTGACCCACACGACCAGAATGCCATCGCTGATGCACTGCTGAAGCTTGTAGCAGACAAGAACCTGTGGCAGGAATGCCGGAGAAACGGGCTGCGCAACATCCACCTCTACTCATGGCCGGAGCACTGCCGCACTTACCTCACCAGGGTGGCTGGGTGCCGGTTAAGGAACCCAAGGTGGCTGAAGGACACACCGGCAGATGCCGGAGCTGATGAGGAGGAGTTCCTGGAGGATTCCATGGACGCTCAGGACCTGTCACTTCGTCTGTCCATCGACGGTGAGAAGAGCTCGCTGAACACTAACGACCCACTGTCGTCGGACCCGCAGGATCAGGTGCAGAAGATCATGAACAAGATCAAGCAGTCGTCAGCGCTTCCGCCGTCCATGTCCTCGGGCGGAGACGGTGCCAAGAATGCAGCCGAGGCCACAGGCGGCACCATGAACAAGTACCCACTCCTGCGCCGGCGCCGACGCCTGTTCGTCATAGCTGTGGACTGCTACCAAGACGATGGCCGTGCTAGCAAGAAGATGCTGCAGGTGATCCAGGAAGTTTTCAGAGCAGTCCGGTCGGACTCCCAGATGTCCAAGATCTCAGGGTTCGCGCTGTCGACTGCCATGCCGTTGTCCGAGACACTCCAGCTTCTGCAGCTCGGCAAGATCCAAGCGACCGACTTCGATGCCCTCATCTGTAGCAGTGGCAGCGAGGTGTACTATCCTGGCACGGTGAACTGCATCGACGCTGAAGGAAAGCTGCGCCCAGATCAGGACTATCTGATGCACATCAGCCACCGCTGGTCCCATGACGGCGCGAGGCAGACCATAGCAAAGCTCATGGCCAGTCAGGACGGTTCAGACGACGCTGTCGAGCTGGACGTGGCGTCCAGTAATGCACACTGCTTCGCGTTCCTCATCAAAGATCCTAAAAAGGTTAGTAAATTCTTTAATTTATACTTAATGCGTATCCTAATGCCTACTTATAACCGGTTGCTGTATGAATCTGAATTCTATTTGTCTGTTTAGGTGAAAACGGTCGATGAGATGAGGGAGAGGCTGAGGATGCGTGGTCTCCGGTGCCACATCATGTACTGCAGGAACGCCACAAGACTTCAGGTTGTCCCTCTGCTAGCATCAAGGTCACAGGCACTCAGGTAAGAACATACTACAGAATCTAGCTTGAAGCTCTCGTGGAATTTTTCTGACAACAAATGCTATAATTAACCTTCCTGCCAATCTGTAACAAACAAACAAAATTCAATTTCAGGTACCTTTTCGTGCGCTGGGGCCTATCTGTGGGGAACATGTATCTGATCATTGGGGAACATGGCGACACCGATCTAGAGGAGATGCTATCTGGGTTACACAAGACTCTTATCGTCCGGGGTGTCACCGAGAAGGGTTCGGAAGCGCTGCTGAGGAGCCCAGGAAGCTACAAGAGGGACGACGTCGTCCCGTCTGAGACCCCCTTGGCTGCGTACACGACTGGTGAGCTGAAGACCGATGAGATCATGCGGGCTCTGAAGCAGGTCTCCAAGATTTCCAGTGGCATGTGAATTTGCTGCTGGGAAGGCTGATTCTCTAACATATATCCTTGTTGTTCATAACTCAAAAGACAGACTCATTTTGTCCTTTTCTTCACTACTACATAAATAACTTGTGAACACTACCACGGGTGTATATATTGCAGTGACAAATAACTAGGACACTGCTAATTCTACTGGTGGCTCACGACTGTGAACAGTGATTAATAATATACTACGACTGTCTTGTGAGATATAGCCCGAGCATACAAGATTGTATGCTGTGTATTTCTCAAGTAGTTTCAGCTAGGTTTACTTTTTTTTTAAACCCTTTAGTTTACTTGTTAGCAGTAAAAGTCAGGTTTCAATTTTGGTGTTTGAATTTTTTCGGTTATCCCCGAGATTCATGAAACTTTGTCAATTTTTTTTGAAAGATCTGGCTCTAGCCGGCTTTGATTAATAAGAAGACAGAAGCAACAGCAGTTTACATGCGCGAGGAGCGCTCCCTATAGCAGCCTAGGCTGTGTAAGGTTCTAGCCGGCTTTGTCAATTTTGTTTAGGACATCAGCAAAAGGTATGATTTCTAAATTTTTATATCTATAAACGACACATATATTGAGTAGAAGAATATGTGACATAAACAATATTAGAAAATTATTAAAGCTATATATTTATAATAAAGCACGTGCATTAGTGTAATACGAAACTTTGGATTTATCTTTCAACCACCCTCGAAATTACCAAAAAATGCGAAATTGCACCAAAATTTTGAACTCCCTTTGGCACCCCTTTTCCCTTTTTATTTCAGTCCTAGAACTAGAATGTACGGGACAAACCTTTGCTAAACTCTTAGCAAGTCATGTGAGTTGATTTTCTTTATCAAAGAAAGGGTAAAGTATAATCAGTTGTGCCAAAGTGACTGATTGGAGAGTGCATCGCCGAAAAACATGATTGTTCCTTTCCTTTCAAAGGTACCATGCGATCAGGATGACCAAAGGTCGCCGAGATTATGCTGAAATCATGAAAACCATATCGGCTTTTGATATGTCACATGCAATTGGTCCATCGATTCCATGATGCACATGCGTGGCAAGTTCGTGAGTCATGAGCACCGCAACGGACATTTTCATCTTTTTTTTGTGAGAAGCTGGTCACAACATTGTCTAATAAAAATTGCTCGAAAGCTTTTGCGTCCTTTCCAAAATAAAGAAGCTGATCACAAGTGGAAACAAATAATCACAAGATTGCTGTCAGCATCACAGTATAAAACTATAAAATGGCATAGGCAGCAGACCTAAAATCAGTAGCACATTGGTGTCATTGATGTTTCACAGCTTGTTTGGAAGGTTTGAGAGACTGATGGATGTTGGCATGATGTCGTGGCTACCGGTGACTACAATGAACATGAGTAATATTGCAATGAATATGGCGTTGTTTTAATTAGGGGGAGATGATCCAAATTTAAATTTACAGCATGGCGAAGAACTAAATAATTTGTGAGAAACTTGGTAGTGGTTTTATTGAGAAATGAAGCTCATCAAGATGGAATCGAAAGCTACCTTAACGGTCTTGGCAAAAAAATGTACAACCATGAATATGAGTGAGGAAAAAAGAAAGAGGAGAAAAGGAAAAACAATGGTTTCAATTCAAGGATTTTTTTGATGGTATGAATGTAGTGCTGGTGCATGGAGTGAGCAAAGTTACAATCAAACAAATGACAAAACTATTTGAAAGATATCCAAGTAAAAAAGAAACACAAATAATGTTACAATGAAGAAAAAAAACTAGCTACCCATACTATTTGCATGGGCTAAAACTAGCTACCATGCTATTTGCGTGGTATATACTGGTAGTACACGAAGTTACTATAGCCTTATTAATCTCTTTTCCCATTCTTAAAATAAAGCAGAACACGCATTGGTCTTCTGAAAGTAGTGGCATGTCAATGTATATATGATTGCTCCACAAAGAAAAACAAAAGTCAGTGTCCTGGTATCTTACTGATTTCTGACAATATAGTTATACAGATGTGAAAATGCGATTTTGAAGTCCAGACAATACAATTGCGATAATAAATTCCAGAAGCAAAGAAACTAAATAAAAGGGTCTAAAAACCCACCCAAGCATGCAATGCAAATACTAGTAGTTCTGAATGTGAGATTCTCCAAACCGTTCGTTTCAGAGTTCCAAGAATAAGCTCGCCGGTCCGGAACAACAGGACCCTTCAAAGCTCAAACCAAATTTAGCAGGCAACGCACAACATTGGCCTTCTCTTGAGCGACACCGCTGCAGAACGGACGCTGCCCCTGAAACCTCTCCCCTCCACCTCTCTGGCGCCCCCTCCCCCGCTATAAAAGCCTCCAAGAACATCCACCATCTCCACCATAACAAAGCCACGATCCATCCGAATAAACTGCAGACTCCCAATCCTGCCAAATCCGAGCTCGCGTCCGCAGAGGTCCATGGCGTCCAAGTCCGGCGAGCTGCGCATGACGCTGCTGGGCGTGGCCCTGCTGGGGCTGCTGCTGCTGAGCCAGCACGCGGCGCCCGTCGACGCCACCGAGAGCGCCGCCCCCGGCATGAAAATGACTAGCTTCAGCTTCAACAGCAACAACAAAAACTACAACGCCGGCGGCCGCACTCTCAGCAGCTTCAGCATGAACGCCGGCGACAGCGAGAAGAAGACCCGAGGCAAGGGCGTCTGATCGCCCCACACCCATGCCTGCCGGCCACATGCCTCGCCTCTCACCACGCAGCGTTACCGTACTACTATATCTACATGCGACCGTGGGACAACGTCGGCCGGAGCTCGATCGATATCGGCGTAGTTGCCGCCCGGCTGTCAAAGTCCCTTGTTTCTTTCTTGATTTGTGCTTGTGTTGGGTTCGGTGTTTTTCTTTCTTTTGATTAATCTTGTTTTCAAATGCATGTACGCATGTGACGGCACCAGTTGGTCTTGTGTGTAAGTCTATTATTAAGAATAGACTAGCAAGACGACTCATGCTAACTTCTATTATTCGATTCCAGTCTCTAGCAGGGTCCGTTTGGTTTGCGCCTGTTATGTCGTACTCTTACTAACTTATTTCTTTTTTTCCGTGATCATGCCGAGACACGTATTTCATTAAGCAGAAGAGAGTTTTGTTACAACGAAGAGCTGCCACGGTAATCCAAGGTTACCGAAGCCCTCCCCCACCGAACTCACAGGTGATTGTGATTACACAAATCTAATTTCGCGACTACTGCCTGAGCCAAATCAAAGAAGCGCCATTAGCGCCCTCAGATGTTTATAACCAGCCAGGCACCAAGCATCGACCTCCTCCTGGATCATCACCCCCACTTGAGCAGCCGGAGTTGATACACCGTTGAAGGTCCTCGTGTTGCACTCCGTCCACATCATCCATCCAATGAGGAAGAAGAGGGAGTCGAAACCTCTGCAGATAGGCTTTGGGACCATCTTCCTGCTTTGCAGCCACCACAGAATTGCCGGTTCGACCCGAACCACCACAATATCCTAGAGATGCAATCTCCTAATCCATGAATCCCAGACCTCACGACTGAAGGAGCAGCCAAGCAAGATGTCGTGTCGTGCGCGGCCATTAAGCCTCCGCACGTTCCAGACGAAACAGCTAGCTAACGACGACATAAAGAACAGCTTTGCGACGAAGGTAGACTGGACACTGGAGACTAAGCCTCAACAGTGACAAGGCCAGCCATGTCAAGCCCCATGGTTTCTGGATCAAATTCCCCAGAGAAAAGGATCTGCAGCGCCTACTGTTTCCTTGCACACATGTTTCCCTAGAATGTTTCCTTGAACTTCCTTTGGATCTCTGAGTCGACAGCAGCAGCATCGACGTGCACCCCTAGCTTCTTCAGGAGCACGGACTGTACCTGCTTGGTGGAGTTTGCCGCCCGTGGTTTGGCGGCAATTCTGCTGCTGCGCCTTATGGAGTGGATGGATGCTGGCGTCCTGGATCGACGTAGCTTCGGCGCATTTTTTTTTTTTAACATTTTTAAACTATTTTTAAAACTGACACTGTTTTTTCTTCAAAACTAACACATTTGGACGTGCCTGTTTGCACGACGCGGCTAATTCACGGCAGGGGGCAGTCAACGGCTGCGGCGACCGCTAACGTGGCAGGTCTGACGTGCCACCCGTCACGGCATGGCAGACCCCTTGTTCCCTCTCTCAGTGTCTCCGTCCTTAGACGAGAAAATGCGCGTCGTCGTGACTCCCGCCCGTCGCGACCCCGGCCGCGCTCGCCCCCGCCGTGTGCCCGTCCTCCCTCATTCCATCTCCATCTTCCCCTGTCTAATTGCCTCCCTTACTGCCGCCGCCGCCCCTCCATCTCCCCGCACTGTCTCGAGCCGTGAAAGACATTGCTACGCTGCCCATCGTCATCCTCTAGAAGGGGGGATTGCTGCTGGCCGGCCAGCCATTGCCGTCGCCCTCCAGAAGTAGGCCGCTGTCGGCCGGCCATTGCTGCCGGTGGCCATCTCCTTTCCATTGGTGGATTGTGGTGACCCATAATCTTTGTCGAGGTAATGCTCTTCTGCATCTCTGTCAATTTTTTTGCTATGGTTAAGATTCAAATTTAGTTTGACTGGATAGAGATTTATATAATTAGTTAACAAAGATATTTAGTGAAGTTAGTAAATATAAGTTATGTATAGTTTTATAGTTATTTTTTGCAGTTAGCTAGATATGTATAGTTAGTAAAGTTACCTAGTATAGTAAGTATAGAAATTAATATTAGTGTGTTTAGTGTAGTTAGTTGTAACACCATCGGTGTTACACTGTAAATCATTTACTAAAATATATCATGAATATCATGTTTATGTGTTAATGCATGTGATAAAGTATGTAGATCAATTTCTGTAACTCGAAACGATCAACTAAAATACGAAACGAAAGTTGATTCGATGGTCATGTTATATCACTTAGGGTTTAAAACCAATTTTTATTAAGCAAAAATACTATAGAACATGTATGTGATACTTAAATAAAGTTTGAAGTACAAACTTTGTAGGTGATA